ATCTCTCTCACAGCTGCGTCCCAGTCAAATTCCTGAATAATGAAAAAGTAAGATTTAGAGATAGAAATTGAAGTGTTTGGAGAAGAAAGAATCAGGGTTTCAAGAAACAGTTTACATCGTCGTCGTCGATAATCTCAAGAGCGGCGGCGGACGATGAGGCCATGGCGAACGGGAAATCTTGGGGAAAATATATTCGGAATCTTCGTCTTCTCCCAGAAGGGGCGCCATTCCACGCAAGCCTTGAAAATTTGATTTTCTCCCTTGATTTTGAGATGTATAACCAGCGAAAATAATTTGAGTTTTGAAACTTGAAATAAGTATTTTGAGAAAATTTAAAATTATGATTTAATTATGGGGTGAGTGGTTATAGTGTTAGTCGGTGACAGTCTGGCAGGGATACTCTATAGATTAGAGAGATCAAATCTCTACGTAAATATCTCCCAAATTCAGAAGATATATCTAAATTCTTTATTTTGAAAATTTGTGATATCTGATAATATCGAATTTAAATTATTTGTATATCACACCAAACCCAAAAAAGAAACTTGATATCACGAGATATGAAAACTTATATCTTCTACAGCTCTATGCCCACTAACCGGACCCTGAGAGCTTGTAACCTTCAACTTAATCTTATTACTTATTTGTATTAGAATCGGATCATATCAGTTTAGAAAAATCTTTTAGTATAACTATAATCAGATTATACCAAACCAAATCAGATTAAATATATCTTTAAATATAACTACAATCAGATCAAACTTTATTCCAATCATATCATGTAAAGAGAACAAGTCCTAATTTTGAATCGTTTTAATAAAAGGTGATTAAAATAATTAGTGAGTTTTCATATTTAGTCCTCAATTTTAAGATATTAGTCTTTCGTTTTGGTACGGTTCTGGAACCGCTGGTTCTATTACCGCCACCATATGTGACCGTTATCGGTGCCGGATGTCCCAATTCCAGAACCAATAGTTCCAGTACCAGTTCTGGGCTAGTTTGGCTGTTCAATTTTTTATATGATTGAGTCAATTGAGATGTAAAACAAATTTACAAGTTTTCATAAATTCTAATTTTTAATAACGTAGTTGTTAGGCCACTAAAAATGAGTGGCCATTAAACCTAGCCGATTTACGGACCGGTTCCATGGACACTGCTTTTAGTGGTCAAGGAAGTCACTGCTCTGAATCGGATACTTACAGTTCTCTGTTCGTAAAATTGATGCTTCCTACCCTCTCCTCCGGTAAACCCTCTGCTCAGTCCCGACTCCAACCCATCCCTCCACCCATATATGTCAATTGCACCCGGCAAATTTAGTTGACTTTAAAGTAAAAAAAATTGACTTTAAAGTCAACTAAACTTGCGGGGTGCAATTGTCATGGTGGGAGATGGGTTAGGGTCAGAACTCAGTGAGGAGGTTTACCAAGATGGTTAGGGGGGTAGGAATCATCAATTTTACGAATGGAGCATTGAAGAGTGGCAGTGGCTTTTGTAAAGTTTATTGTGAGAACAACAAAAAAAGAAAGTGTAAAGTTTATTTTAGAACAGGTGTATATTCTTCCATGATCACTTGAAATGAATAAGTAAAAAGCTTGCCACATAAAGAGTGAAGCGCTTTCATCTTCCAGCCTTTTCCTGCAAATTCTAAGGACAAGAAAAATGGAGAAGCAGGGAAGGGGCATATTTTCATGAACATTTTGGTTAATAGATTGGGATTTTACCACTTCGACACTCCCTTACAGCAGCCCGTGCCTTGAAAATTTCACCAACTGTCTTCAAAACTCAATCTAGAAGTATCAGAGACCACTCACAAGTAATCACAACAAATAACTGATCATTTCCTAATAAATTGTAGGCTACAACACTAATAAAATTAAATAACACACCATCCGTCCCAAAACAAAACTATGAATATCACGTGGTGAACACGAACAACCTTCCCATTTAGATTGTGTGATGTTTAATGTGGAACAGGAGAGTATTTTTCTTCAAATGTTTAAAAAAAGAAATAGTCAGTAATGCATATATAATCAAGTACACGAGAACAACAATCAATCCTTAGAATCGTAATTCATTTATTAGCAACTTGGCCAAAATCAGTACGTATTTTGTAGCCCACACCATCTTATAGGGGCAATACAATAGGTTGTACTTGCTTTAGAACAAACACACACCTGGAACAACACCAAAATAAACTCCTGTCTTATAAAATTTGCCGATATCTCTTCTTTGATCTCCCTAACTGTGATGTCAAAGAACAGCACTCTGTAATCAAGCATAAACATACATGTCCAATGAAGTGCTAAAGAGTTCAGTTGTAAAGAAAAATATCAGACCTGTGACTGAGGGCATGATTAATCCCTTTACGCTTTGGGTATAGTTTCGCTCCGGCTTTCCACTTTGGGTATAGTTTTGCTCTCCCTTTCCACATTGGGTATAGCTTCGCTCCCGCATTCCTCCTTCCGTTGCTGCTCCAGCATTTTCTTATTCTTCTCCAAGGCAGCAGCAACTTCTTGCGGCATATACTTCTCAT